AGAAGTCAAAAGGGGAGGGGAAGACGGAAGAAGTTCTCGAACTATTCCTGCTGAATTATCGAGCTACCCCGAACCCTCACACTCCAAACGGCGTCTCCTCTGCAGAAGCTTTGATGCAAAGAAAACTTTGCACACCGTTTGGCGTTATTCGTCCGCTGTTGGTGTTGATGAATCAGCCCATCTGACGTCAATGAAAAGGCAATTCAACCGACGCCACGATGTAAAACAACGATTGTTTCACCCAGGCCAGACGCTGCCTGCAAAGGACTACAGGACTAATCAGGAAAAGTGGACGATTGAACGTGTTCGCCGAAAGTGTCGGGTCGGCTCCGATATTTGGGTGCGGCACGCCAGCCAGTTGAAACACACTGAATGTGCTGAGATGCCAAAACCAAGCCCAACCCTATCACAACACACATTCGACCTGCCAAAACCAATACAAGAAACTACAGTTCCAGTTGTCAGTCAGTCTCCCCAAACCTCTACACGATCAGGTCGGAAAAAATGCAAACGGTTCCGTTGCAAGTGAACCCGCTGCTCAAATCCTACGATTCGTCTCAAGGAGGAAATGTTAGGACAGCCTAACGAACAGCCTTAACAAGCGGTTAGCTTGCAAGTAATAGCCGCAGTCAAAGCAGACTATCGATCAGCCTACATGGGCGAACGTACGCAGGCCGTCAATCAATCGATAATTCAAAATTCAAGTTGAATGTCAGCCTCAGAGTCCCAGCCAATCGCACCGGTGGCCAATCCAGAAGGGAAGCTGACACACGTTTTTGCCCTTAATTTGTTGTACCTATTAAACTCAAAGACTTCTGTTGTTCCACACTTCTTGACGTTTCATTCCTTTAGGGACTTACACAGGGCGTTATTGAGCGGTGATATCTCGGCCTGGGCATCCGTTACAATATTGGAGACAAAATGACGCTTCACGTAACAGAGAACAACCTACTTACTGTGGCTTAGCATGGATTCCGTGAAAAAAAGACCCTGCGACACCTGCCACTATTCATTTGAACATGCGCTACAATCTAGAGACAGTGCTTTTGCCCTTTTTTACTGTATCACTATCAGTTTGTTTAAGGAATATGTAGGTAGACTGCCTTTGATTTCCCTATTTGTACATGTATGTTGCGGTAGCAGCAAAATGAGATCTCAGTTTGTTGGCGAGGCCAATTTTCCTGAGCCTTGAGATAGTACATAGTCGTTTTAAAAAAATGAGCAGACAGTGAAAGAACTCACTGGAATTTTTGAAGAGGAAAACCATCGATCTCGTGGGGGGAGGATCTGATGGGGTGTGGGGTTTAGAAGAAAGAAACGTCCGCTCTTAGGGGAAGGGTCCAATGCGGAGGAGCATTGCAGAGGTCACTGGGATCATCACCGAGTGCGCAATATGTGGTCCGATACTTCCTTGCTGATTTCAGATCCGCCCAGATCGTCGACAGTCCGCTGCGGGTCGAACGAAGGGTGAGTGTTGAGGCCCCCAGGTTAGGCTGATGAGATCGCTGACGTGGTCATCACGGTAGGTCGGTAGTCAAAAAAGGCAGAGCGCGGAGACCTTCGCATGGATTTGGTGGTGGGAGAGCCATTTGTAAAATAGCAGATACAAATGTTACTGAAATATAGTTGATGGTATTAGTATTGAGATTTTTTCGTTGCCTGTATGGCGGTTGATTGAAGTTGAACGCTCGTTGTCGTAAAACGTTATACTATAAAACGAATACTACTGAACTATACAAAGTAGTTTTATAATTGTAAATTGTCAGCGGCGGTCAGTTCATATTATAGCGCGCACGGCTATATCGATCCAACTTTCGCTAAAAAACCCCTAGGGATTCCGAAATAACGACTTCCAGAGGAAGAATATTCCAAGCTTCGAGCAGCCTTTTGGAGAGGAAATACTTCCGTGCGTCCAGCCTGGCCCCAGTCTCACGTGAGTTGAAAGGATGACCACTCAAGTGCGTTGTTTTTGCTAACTCGAAGAAATCTCCTGATACAAGGCAGCAGTCCTGAACGCGTAATATGCTGAATGTTAGTATCAGGTCCTCTCGAAGCTCTCTGTAGCGCAAGGGAAAGAGATCGAGATTTGAAAGCCCTGTTTCATAAGACTGTGAGCCCTGTCTAGTGACAAGTTTTGTTGCATGCCTTTGAACTCTTTCGAGGGTGTTGATGTTTTTCGCCGCCCAGAGTCTCCAAGCCTGGAGAGCGGACTCCTGTTGCGGCTGCACGAAGATTTCGAAGACTTTGGTGAAGCAGTCGTCATTGAAGGCAGAAAAAGCTCGTTCGACGACATACAGAACCGACATCGCAGATCAGCTACCTTTGCACAGTGTAGGGAAGGTTTGAGGGAGGGTGTGATCCAGACTCCCAAGTCCTTCTGGGCGTTCACGTCTTTGAGTGGTATGCCGTTTAGTCGGTAAACCGTACCGTTTGAAGGACTGATTTTGCCGACTCGAATGATGTTGCATTTGCTCTCATTGAACAGCAAGAGCCAGTCCTTCGACCATTTTTGGGGTCGATTTAAATTTGTCTGCAAGTTCGCTTCGTCCTCCGCAGTTCGAAATTCGCGCCAAAGTTTTATATCATCGGCGAACCTGGCGATACCGTAATCCAGTTCCCTGGCGTAATCGTTGATGTAGATATTTAACAAAATAGGGCCTAGAACAGAGCCTTGGGGAACACCACTCTCAACCGCTACCTTGATTGACTGTTTGTCGCTGATATAGACAGTTTGCCAGTGGCCAATTAAGAAACTTTCTGTCCATGCCAGAAGCCTACCACTTACTCCTATGCGGCTGAGTTTATGAAGAAAGCGGTGGTGCGGCACGCTGTCGAAGGCCTTTTTTAAGTCGATCTAGACTGCGTGCACTGAATTCCCTCTATCGACTGACTCAGTCCACCGTTCTAAACAGTAGAGCAAATTTATTACGCAGGACATACCGCTGCGGAAGCCGTGCTGGACGTCTAAAAGCAGCTGGTTTTGTTCCAGGAACTGCATTAGTTCTTTTTCGATTATTTTTTCCATAATTTTGCAACAGATTGCAGTAAGGCCGACCGGTCCATAATTGTTTGCTGAGACCCGGCTTTCGTCCTTGTAGAACGGCGTAATCCTCGCAGATTTACATAAATAGATTTTATATTTTAGGCCCGGAGGCCTCGTCATAGCAAAATTAGTGCTGTGGCAAAGGTAAATACAAAGTTGATAAATGCTGCTCTTTGTGAGCAACCACACAAACAGCGGGAGTGTTCAGTATAGTAGGCAGCTAATTTCATATCCGTCAACATTCTCTGAAAATTATGGTGAAATAAGAGGGAAGCAGTGAAAAAACTCCTACTATCAAAATGGGGGCAGAGTTCAGCTGACCCCCACTTTAAAAGAAACTAAACATAGGAGAAGAAACTGCTTCAATAAAAATGAAAAGGTTGTTTAATGGGATTATTGCGATACAATGAGACAGGATTGTTGATTAGAACATATGAGGGTTCGAAACGCTTCCTGTCGTTGAAGAAGTCTTATAGCAACAGAGGCCACCGTTCACCACCGTAACACCACCGGACTGGCTCCAGGATCAACTATCAGGGATGTGAGACAAGAGATGGTCATTGCGGACAACCGGGTCGAAAGGCTACACGAAAGGTAGAGGTCAAGTGATCATTACCAAAATGCCGGAGCTGTGACCTTGTGGACTGCACAGTCCAGCGACGAGCTGGCGAAAATGGCAGAACTGCCAGGAGCATGACCAGAGATCTTGAAGACCATAGTCAGGGTTGTAAAACGGAGAACGGACGACGGCAATAATAATTAGACAGAGTAGGGGACGAAACACCGCAGCAAATATCACTCTATAGAAGATAAAATAGACATATCTGAAAAACAATTTAATATAAATAGAACCGCCTCAAATACCAGGAGGACCCTTTTCAAAGTCCAGAAGTTGTGTTTTTGGGAAGGAGACGGACAACAAGGACTTTATATCTTCCGAAGTTAAATGTTTACGTAATTTGGTTTTAAAAACTGCTAAATTAGACGACAGCCTAATTTCGAGGGGAATATTATTCCAGACGCTAAGTTAGACGACAGCCTAATTTCGAGGGGAATATTATTCCAGAGGAAGACTGTTAAGTTAGACGACAGCCTAATTTAGAGGGGAATATTATTCCAGAGGAAGGCATATTTGGAGGCAAAACTAGATTGGTTAGATGTGGTACTCAAGGGGTGCAATTGTCATGGAGGATTTAGGAGTGGCACAAGGTCTATCTGCCGGAGTAAGAGCGTTGATCTGTGGGAGGTTAGGGCTAGAGTTAACGCGAACTAGGAAGCAGAGGCCCGCTTCGAGTCTTCTAACCCACAGAAATGTTATGTTCGCTAACTGACATCGCTCCATATAAGAAACAGTGGATCGAGTTAGAGCAAATATTTAATGAGTAAACACTCTTTGTACATTTTCAACCTTACCGCGGTCAGAGGCATTCATTAGACCAAAGATGGGACAGCAGTATAATAGGATGGGTAGAACAAACATGCGATACAGTTTTAACTTTATTTCCAGAAAGGAGAAATTACGTGATATAAGACCACATATCCGTGCAGCCTTCGCAGATATTTGAGGCGATAATGCTAGTTTATTTGTGTACCTTATACCTAAGCCTTTAATGGTGAATCGTTCTAAAGGTGGAGTATTTTGAAAGACTAGGGAACTAGGAAGCATGGCGGGGCCAAAACACATGAAACTACACTTGGATGGAGAAAATTCCATCCGTCAGGTAGCACTCCAACGTAAGAGTGTAAGCAGGTCTGCGTTTTTAAGCTAAGTCCGTCTTGACTTGACTTAGTAAAAAAACAACCACTGATTGCTGCTCGTTAGGAAGGGAAGTGAAGAAGTTAAGAAAGGATATGTGACACGTTTCGCATGACCGTCCAGGTAGAAAACTATGCTGCAAGTCGCTTAAAAGCTTGTTTTCTAGGCAAAATAGAGAATTTGATCAAAACGATCTTTTCCAGAAGTTTGGCTAAAGCCGGGAGTTTATGAACGCGTCGGTAATTATGTATTAGCGTCCGAACGAGATCATGACTGAAGACTGGAAAGATAATATATGTTTTCCATGAGTCATAAAAGAAACCATTCAGAAGAAAGGCTGAGAATAGATGACTAAACAATGGGGGAAGCTCGACACTCTCTTGATAACTGAGTTTCGAATACCGTCAGTTCGCGAATAGTGCGAGTTTTTTGGACGAACAGCGTGCTTACGAATTAGTTCTGCAGCGAAATCCATAGTACTGATAATATTGGCTAAGTGTGGCTAAAACGATGGGACCGGTTCGGATTCCGTCGTTTTTTGCGACTTCGGCAAAGTCCACGGCTCAGACGATTGTAAATCGCAAGTGGTAGTTCCGGTGAGGAAATGGATACCACTGCCAGTGCTTGGTGACTTATCCACAGTTACAGTAGATTGCATATCTGATGCAAGGTTGTGGATTGGAGGATTTAACGCA